TAAGAATTACTTTGAAGATTATATAATTTCAGTTATTTTTTCAATGAAAGCTATTTTCAAATTCTCCCTAAATTGAGTAAAGCCTTAAGGTCCCTTGCACACTGAGTCTGAAATTTGTGCACGTTAAAAAATAAATACAACCTCAACTTTCGTCCGTCGTAAAAAAAAATTGGATCGGGTTTGATTTTCTGCGTTTTTCTCATCCATAGCAAGCATTTTGAGAGGTGTTTTGACAGTTCCTAGCCACCGCACATGCAAATGCCAAATTCAAGAATGGCGCCTGACGAGTTGATCCACTTTGTCCCGCAGCACGGAAATTGGTGGTCTTCTTGTTAATATGTGGCTCCAGTGTTGCTAGCAAAGCATCAAACTGAGCCACTGACATCCTGAAGTAAACTTTGAATCCCGCAGCTCCTCGATAAGGAGGTGGAACTCTCCTCCTCTCGACGCTATCTCAGGATTGAATGGACCCAATATGTCCTTTCTTTTTCTCTTTTTAAGAAGGAAATCATCCTCACTGCTTGAAGACTCCATTTTGTATTGTTTTGCGAATTTTTTTGCAACAAATGAATTAATGTGTATCGGACTCTGTGTGCAAGGTTTCTGTGCTTGACAAATTTTTAGGATGACGAATGCGAAAATCGCAAACGAAAATGCGTTCATGCGTCCATGCTTAAACCTGTGTTGATGTCTACTGATGGTCAGTAATCCTTTTTTTTTTTTTTTGCAGCCGTCACGGAGAATAACCGAGCAGCATGGAGTCTCAGATAAAGATAACTCCAGACAACCTGCGAAAACATATACATACATATATACATAAAAAAAACAAGATAAAAAGACAAAAAAATCTACATTTAAAAACTTGAGCTTTGTTTATCTGTCCATCTCTCTTTCTTGCCTGGAAGCTGTACGCTAGTTTGTGCTTATATCATCTTATCATAACGCCATTAATGGGGGCCGTCAGACTCGCTGTTCTCATCACATATTGCACACAGCTCCTGCTCTCTGAAACAACTGCATCTTTCACCCTTTCTAACAATACCCTGCTCCTCTCTCTGTATCCGTCTCTTTCTCTTTATGTCTCTCTCGAGGGTGTCTCTCTACTGGTCTGTGTTGTTCCGGGTGTTTTTTTTTTGTTTTTTTTGTCATTCCACAGAGATGGAGAGAGAGAAAGAGAATCTCTACGATGGGCACTGACTGGTGTGTGTGTGTATATATAAGTGGTTTTGAGTTTCATTGGAGTATTGTAAGTTGGCGATCTGTTTGTACACTGTAATTTGAACATTGCGATCAGTTACAAATCGTGTTTTGTAATGTTGGGAATTTATATTTGAGTATCTTTTGAAATATGAAGTCATTGCTTGTGTTTTTTTTTTAAATTCATTCAAAGACAAATGATGTTACGTTTAATGAGCTTGGACTTTTGGTTTGTTTTCTATTGTGAGGAAAGAGAGGTCTCGTTTTGGCTCTTGAGAAATATATTGAGTAAAAGAGAAACCGCGACAGGCAGGATGAACGGAGGAAAGAGGGTGAGATGAAATAGTATCATCTGCTGTAAAATATCATGTTCTACTGTTGAGAACTGAGACTATTTCTTGCCAATGTTCTTGGGAAATTTAAGCCATCAGTATCATTTTTTTCTTTTAATGTTGGCTTCCTTTCCCTCTTTCTCATCTCGCTCGTCTGTTCATTTGCTGAAGGTTCTGTGGCGTGCAAACCTTCTTTGTGCATTCTTTTACGTTTTTTTAGGGGGGTTGATACTGATTTCTTTGTGAATAACAATAGTTGTCATTGGTTACCATGTCCATAGCTACTGTTGCCATGATTCCTTTCTGATAAGTCACACACAGCTCCCCACGTTCTGGCTTTGTTTCTCGCAGATGTCAGTCCCTTCCTCTTTTTCTTTCGCATCTTTTGTTTTTCTTCACTTGTCCTGGAGTGATTGAGGAATCATAGCCAAGCTTAACACTTTCAGAGCCATAGCACATTTTTTCTCATTCCCTCCCTGTGATGTCAGAACTTTTCAAAGGGCTTTTCCACAGGGCTTGCTGACCTCATGCCTCTCCTGCCTGTGATTGGCTTACCTTGTGTGTATCTAGTCTCGAACTGACTTATTCTGCATGCGTTGCATCTTAGACGTAACTATCTGCCTTTATTATACGTTTTCGGTGAGATGTCGCCATCTTTCGATGCCGTTTTTAAAGAAACCGACATTGCTTTTGGCCAATCATGGATGAGGAAAGCATGCTCAAGTGGGAAGAGTTAAAATGACACCGTGTGTAGCTGTTTTGCATAAATACAGGGTGTGATTTGCATAAATTAATAAACCCCCCTGTGTAAAACCCCACTGAGACGAGCCCCAACTGCAGAGGAAATTCACCCCCGCACGTCAATCACGTGACATTTCTCAATCGGTGCACCTGCACTTTGTGTCTCATGACCAAACGTTTTGTTTTCGTATTCAGTTTTAGTGCAATTTTATCGATTCCTGTGACGAACATTTCCTTGTTTTCGTTCTAAGCTTTAGTCTTCATCTTTTTGCTTAATCCCCCGCTTGTTAGGGTGAAATGTAACAGGCAATGACGGTCGGTCGAGTCCCGTGTCTGTCTGTACGTCTGTCCTTTCCAACCAGAAGCTGCTCTTCTCTGCTTCCTCTTGAGGAGGGGAGATCATCCCGCTCTGTGATCTGAGGGAAACAAGTCATTACCAAGAAAATGATTATTTATATTACTGTATTGTCAATGGCAATGACATGCTTATTGTGAATGGGACCATGGGGACTGTCAACAGTCTTACACACACACACACACACACACACGCGTATATTTCTCACATATAAACCTGCACGCATACAGTATATGATTTCAAAAGCCTGTAAAGGAGGCAGATATCATAATGTCCTTTTAATGGCTGTTATTATGATTATTGCTGGTGTTATATTGGTGAGGTCTCTTTTTTTTTTTATTTTAAAAATTGAAAAGGGATTTAAAAGCTTTTGTCCTTTTTAAAGTACGTTTTGCATTTCTTTCATTTTGTTCGCTTTGGGTGTGAAAAATAATTGGCTGTTCTCTCTTTCTGAAGTCAATTTTTTCCCTAAATCTTATAAGGAATTATTTTAAAAGATGATTAAACGATATGGGTAGATTGTCAAGAGAAATGAGCTATGGATGGTTATAGTCTATGTATATGCTTATGGGTATAATAAATTAAACGATTAACAAAAACAGAATTATATACATATATTAAATAAAATTCTTGATACTGTAAGTCTTTGTCTTGTGTGTGTGGTTTTTTTAAAATCCTTTTTTTTATATATATATATAAAGATTTTTTTTGGTTCTGCTTTACTGATTTTTTTTTTTTACTAAAAAGGGAAAGAAAATTAGAATTAAACTTATTTTTCAGCAAACACAAAAATACATTATCTTTTTAAATAATCATATAAACATTCCATTTACCATCAATAATCAGTCCTATATACTGACATACTGAGAAGTTTTTATTTTCAAATGATATTTTAAAAAATTCATATGTTCTCCTTAAATTCATAAAAGGCATTACAGGTATTTTAGATTTTATGTTTTGTTTCAAACCTAATTGGTTTCAATTGCGCATGTGACTAATTTAAATTGACTGCTCTGCTTGTGCACTTAAAAGTAATTTGATTTATTTGCACTTGATTTTTTCAATTGTCACTCAGTTATCATTATCTTCTAATATGTTTGATAGATAATTATGTCCTTGCCTCTGTGTAAGTGAATAGTTTGAGGGCTTGTTCCAATTTCACAATACACAGGTGTAATAACATTAACAGTAACATTTCCCTTTAGTCATATTCCCTGATGTAGTTTTTGAAGATGGGAGTTATCTGGTTTTGTGTCAAGGGAGTGGCATTGTGGCAGTCAAAATCGACTTAATTTTCCATATCGATGGAAAAGTAATGCATTGGATGTGCATGTCAAGTTTAAGCCGAGCAAAGGTAAACTTTAACAGAAGTTAATGTTTCGTTAATTTTATGGCTAATAAATGGACTAATATTCTCCTCCAAATTCCACTCCTTGTTTTCTAGGAACTCATTTACCTTTTCTCTCCTCATAAATCAGCCAAGTTGCCTGTCCAGTTGGACCACTCCTCTACTTCGCCAGCATGTTTCAGCATGGGTTGGGAATTCTGCTGTGAGGCATTCTGCTGTTGAAGACAGATCCAGCTCCTTAGGTTTTGGGCGTGTTTGCATACTTATACTAATACGACTCATTCAAACAAAACTGAAGTGACTAAAATGCTTTCATTAATACATTGATTCACTGCAGTTTACATGAAACTGAGGTGAATCAATGCTTTTGATGAAACCAGTTTGCCAAGACTGCGCAAATTAGGTGTGGATTATTAGTATCTCTCGCAGCCTCCCTTCCCATCTGTCTCTGCTTCCCTTTGTTTGTTCACATACAGTCTCTCAGCAATTCTATACAAAGCCAGAACAATAGAACACAAAAATGTTCTGCTGACAGCGTGTACATTTGTTGTGTGTGCATTACAGTGAGTTCGCATTTATCCCACCGTAAGCCTTTGTTAAGCACTGAAATGTGTGAAAACATGAATACTGGCCAAACATCAACTCGTGTCTGCTATCTACTACCAACTGTTGCACAGATGACACGGAAAAACACAAAAGCCCCTTGTGCTGTCTATCCCATCCTGTTGGTTCTCCCTTCATATCTTGCCTAATTTGCACAAGTGAGAATTTAAAGTAAAGAAAAAGTGAAGCATCCAAGCAGAATGATATGTGCTGGGAGGCCTCAGAAAACTCACAGACAGCTCAAACCTGCACTTGCCACATGTGTTGCATGCAGTCGAGCAAACTGCATTCCAAAACATTCATACACCACTGACATTCACAAAAAAAAGGAGGGGGGAATTCGGAGTTGCAAAGAGCACAACTACCAATGACTGACTGATAACTGAGAATGTACACCTAGAGAGAAAGGTTTCATTATTTAGGTCTTTCTCTTGTGCGGTCGCATTGATGTTAGCAGGAATGAAGGAAAAGGAGGAAGATTTACAGTGCTATCTCAATTTGCTTTGCTAATTGGCCAACATTTCTTGCTAAGTAATGTGATGGGCAAAGTGAGGGAAGAAAAGGGAGTGGCTGAGAAACTAGTAAACTAGAGCGGTGAGAGACGCAAGGCAAGGGAAAAGATAAGGAAAATCACACTGACATCAGCACTGAAGACAGGTGCTTGGCGAAGCAGTACTTGGATCTGAATCTGGATCAGACACTCCAGGATATCTCAAATAAGAAGTTGAAGGAACAAATAGAAGTACTGGTAAGTTGTTTTTTGGCGTTTATTATTATTAGATGGGGATGTATCATATATATATATATATATATATACTGTATATGATAGCCTACAATATACAATACAATAAAGAAATGTCAAGGATTGAATTCAAATTTGAAATAGAAAGAATGAAATAGCATATTTCTGTAAAACATACTCCAATAATCTTTATTTTATTTTGTGTAGATAGATAGTACTCTACACAAAATGGGGGAAGTCGTGGCCTAATGGTCGTGGCCTAATCGGAACCCAAAGGTTGCGGGTTCGAGTCTCATACCGGTAGGGATTGAAGGTGGGGGGAATGAATGTACAGCACTCTCTTCCACCTTCAATACCACGACTGAGGTGCCCTTGAGCAAGGCACCGAACCCCCAACTGCTCACCTGGCGCCGCAGCAGAAATGGCTGCCCACTGCTCCGGGTGTGTGTTCACGGTGTGTGTGTGTTCACTGCTGTGTGTGTGCACTTTGGATGGGTTAAATGCAGAGCACTAATTCCTAGTATGGGTCACCATACTTGGCCATATGTCACGTCACTTTAGATAGATAGATATCACACTTTTCCTTTGTATATGTATTTGTAATACTTTTTACAATTAATTTAATGTCATTATTGTATAATATTAGGATGTTTTGGATGTTAAATTATCAGAAATATTACATAATATTAAAATACATATTTTTGATAATACACCTTTCCTTTGATATGTATATATAATACGTTTTAGAATTTATTTAATGTTGTTATTATTGTATAACATTACAATTTTGGTGTTAAATTAAAAGAAAATATGAAATAATATTCAAATCCAATGTTTTCTTCAAAGATCAGATTTTTGCGTTCTCAGAGCCCCTTATAGTGGGCATTATGGCAAGCTACCTGTACTACCTGCTCCCAGCAGTAGGGGGCTACGCTCTCACTTCACTCTACTTTCTGAAGAACCCTCATATTCTGCTCAAGAAGAAACAGACAGCCTTCTACTGCACCCACATCTCTCACAGAGGAGGTACAGTATCTGAGTCAATAACCAGCTCATGTCTGGGGTTTGGGATTCTTACCTTTAAAAGGTATAGTCACAGTAATTAACTGTAATAATGCTGAAGATAAATATTATATTAAATCACAATTAAATCATCTGCACCTGTTGCTGTATGTATGTCACAGCCAAAGTCTTTTTAAGTGACCTAACATACAGCAAGGAAAGTTACATAAACCTTCTGATTTACAAACGATTATTTTATAAAATGTATATGATCTGTTGACAAATATATGGAAATCTTGTGACTATTCCATAAACCTGTCAATACACAGCATTAGATAATTCTGTGTTTGTGACAGCATGTATGAATGTTTTCCTCGTGGGGTTTGTATATAAAGCTAGTTAATATGTGATTGAGTGAGTGATTAACTATTTGAGGAATTTTTATGTTTGTGTGTCTATGAGAGTCAGTCCACATTTTCTGACCTCCTGCTCTCTGTCCTCAGGTTGTGGTGAAAAGATTGAGAACACTATGGAGGCCTTTACACAGTGAGTCTCAGATCAGTTTTTCAGACTGAACAGTAGATCAGAGCAGTTTTAAGTTCCTATCTTACATTTGTATGACTCTATCACAATTTTATTTTCCCAGTCCTTTTAGGGGAATAGGTCTCCCTGATATTAACATACTCACCCTGATTTTGTTTCAATAATTTCAATTTTAAAAAAAATTTACAACACAAAAGAATACTTGGGCCACTCTTTTTTAATTCATAAAAGTGAATAAGGACTGGGGCAAAATTGTCCAAAATTACAAAAAAAATGGTTCATACCACTCAATTCATTATAGCTCAAGTAATTGAACGTAATACATATACGAAACCACATGACATTTATTCACTGAAAAGATTTAGCTTAACTGTTCTTGCCGCAGTCATTAAAGTTGCGATGTCCAAAATGTCTCTTTTCCTTTCAGTGCTGCTGAAGTGGGCACAGAGATGCTGGAGTTAGACTGTCACTTGACTAAAGATGGTCATGTGGTTGTGTCACATGATGAGAACCTCCTGCGGCAGACTGGGCAAGATGTCAACATTTCCTCCTTAAACCTGGAGGTCAGGGGTCAAGGTTAACCTTTTCTCCTGATATACTGTGCAGCTCTACCAGCTCTGTTTACTACTTACTGTTTATCAAAGAAAACAAGGAATCATGGTTTCCACAAAATTACGAAGCAGCACAACTGTTTTCAACATTGATAATAATATATAAGCAATATTCCTTGAGCACCAAATCAGCATATTAGGATGATTTCTGAAGGATCATGTGACTGGAGTAATGATGCTGAAAATTAAGCTTTACCATCACAGTAATATATTACATTTTAAAATATATTCAAATAAAAAAGTTATTTTAAATAGTAATAACATTTAAATATATTGTTTTACTGTACTTTGGTCAAATAAATGGTGAACATAAAAAAAAAAAAACATTAAAAAATCTTACAGACCAAAAACTTTTGAATGCTAATGTTTATAAACCACAGGTTTTGGTTAATAATTAATGTTTTCTTTTTTCATAATTATTATGAATTTTTTTTTTTGTTAGGAGTTGCCACCTTATAATGAGACACTCGAAGTGACCTTTAAGACAGGTGTGTGTTTTTACCAGTGAAACTGCTAACACATATTAACATGTTTATTAATGCATAATGATTATACATGTTTTAATTCCCTTTGCACAGGCCACTTCAGCACTGGGTCAGATAGAAACTTTGCGTTATTAGAGGATGTCTTCCGCAAATTTCCACACATAGCTGTAAACATTGAAGTGAAAGAGAATAACAGCATGCTGATTGAGAGGGCAAGAGAGCAATCATCATACTCAATATGTACTACAAAATCTGAGCCACAAAATGGCCCATAATATTTAACTACATCTGTTTACTAAACCTCCCTCTTTGTTCTTTTATCTCAATAATGTTATATTTTATGTACTGTCTTTATTTAGATTTCTGATCTTGTGAAGGAATACAACAGAGAGGCCACCTCAGTTTGGGCTTCTGTTGACACCACCATCATGAAAAATTGTCGCAAAACAGTGCGTGTGCATTTATGTTCTACCTGTTTTGTTTCAAAAATAAATCGCCCACATACTTTCCTCTTTAGCTCTATGTCTCCTTTGTTGTCAATGGCAGAACTCCTCCATGCCCTACATGTTCACTGTAAAGCGGGGTTTAAAGCTGCTTCTGCTCTACTACACCGGTCTTCTGCCTTTTGTTCCCCTCGGAGAGAGTTTCCTGCAGTTCTACTTGCCACAAATCATAAACAGGTCAGTATACACTAAATATTTCCATACTATGCTGTGTGCCTGGTAATAATCACACAGATGCATTTTCACTAATCTCTTTCTTACAGAGAATACATACCTGAAATGTGGATTATGAGAAGCAGACTGCTCGTCTTTTTAATTCAAAGGTAACTAATCTTAGTAGTATTATCAGACTATACTTTTATTTAACTTTTTATCCTTAGATTGAAATGGTTTTCTGTGGTTTACATGTTTCTTTGTCAGACTAACATTGAGAAAAGGGATGTTCAAGCACCTCAGAGACAGAGGAATTCAGGTCTGTGGCCATGCTATATCATGTTTTTGTGTTGTTAAAGGAATAGTTCACCGAAAAATTACATTTGCTGAAAATTTACTCACCCTTAGTTTATCCAAAATGTTGATGAGTTTGTTTCTTCATCAGAACAGATTTGGAGAAATGTAGCATTGAATCACTTGCTCACCAATGGATCCTCTGCAGTGAATGGGTGCCGTCAGAACGAGAGAGGTACATACACACAATCTGAGACCAGTTTCTCACTGAAAAATTAAAGTTACTCAATATGCTAAGCTGTTTCTTAAAGGACGTACACCCATAAATGAAAAATTGCTGAACATTTACTCACTCTCCGGCCATCCAAGATGTAGATGTAGTTTGTTTCTTCTTTGGCACAGATTTGGAGAAATTGAGCATTACATCACTTGCTCACTAAGTGAATGGGTGCCATCAGAATCAGAATCAGAGTCCAAGCAGTTGATAAAAACATCACAATAATCCACAAGTAATCCACACCACTCCAGTCCATCAGTTAATGTCGTGTAAACCAAAAAGCTGTGGGTTTGTAAGAAACAAATCCATCATTTAGACGTTTTTAACTTCAAGCTTTGGTTAAAATTTGAGTCTTCTATCCATATCAGGAGAGAAATATGGACAGATTAAGCACTGTTTACAAGAGAAAACTATTCTAAACAAATATGTCAGTGGATATGGTGTGAGAGGACAACAGGTTATGGATATTTTCACTGGAAGAAGCATTGTTATGGAATCCACAACTTTTCACTTCACAGAACTTTAAATGATGGACTGGAATTGTGTGGATTATTGTGATGTTTTTATCAACTGCTTGGACTCTGATTCTGATTCTGATGGCACCCATTCACTTAGTGAGCAAGTGATGTAATGCTCAATTTCTCCAAATCTGTGCCAAAGAAGAAACAAACTACATCTACATCTTGGATGGCCGGAGAGTGAGTAAATGTTCAGCAATTTTTCATTTATGGGTGTACGTCCTTTAAGAAACAGCTTAGCATATTGAGTAACTTTAATTTTTCAGTGAGAAACTGGTCTCAGATTGTGTGTATGTACCTACATGCATCAAAATAAAAAAATAAAAAATAAATTCTTTTTCTCTTTAGATTCATCTCTATGTGTAATAAGGAAGAGGATATTAAGACTGCATTTGCTGCAGGAGCAACAGGAGTCATGACTGATTATCCCACCCTGTTATCAAACTATATTAGAAGACACACACAAGACACGTGATCAAACACAAATACACAATGTACTTAACCCTTGTCCAGTCAAACACACACACACACTGTACAAATGCTGTTTGCCTTTAAACATACAGCCAAGTTTTATATCAATCCCATTATTAGCTGATCAGCACTGGCATAGTGTTCACATAAAACTTGGTTTATGGCATTCTTCATGGGACATTTCGTGAGTATGAACACACATAAGATTAAATAGAACTCATATATTCTACAAGTGAACTGTTTTCTTTGCTCCGTTCATTATTATCCCACCATGTTCACAGCATGTTTATTGTGGTTTTCAGTAAGTCAGCGTAAGTTTAGCGCCTCCCTACCTATGTTTGCAAACAAACATTATCCAACTTCTTTGAGGCCGTGCAAAGTCCATCAGCTGTGCTCAACAGGGGATCAGTAGACATCAAAGACTGAATTACACTGTCCATTTGAAAATCTTCTTTAGATACAAAAATGCATGATCATTTGTGAATGAGTGAATCATTTGATGTCACACAGAACCACGGCGGCTTTGATTATACAGTTAAGTATTTTAAAATCATCTGCGTGACTTAATTGTCATGCAAACAACCAGAGGACCCAAAATCGCCACTTCTAAAGAAGCGATAAGACGAAGATAACCAGAACACGAGAGCTTTGTTGTTTTTGCTCGCTGAAACGTTAACGCAACTGTAAAGTTCAGGTGGCTTCAAACGCACGGGAAGAGCGCCTCTGATTGGCTGACCTATATTTCCAGACGTCGCTGTCTGGATTCTGATTGGTCAGCTACGGTATGTTTTGCGCCACATGACATATAAGAAACTTCCTCATAAAATACAGTAAACAAATCTACGGATTATATTCGGCTGCGACGTATTGAGCACGCTGGCTTGCTTGAGTTTTGGGAATTACGAAGCTTTCTGTTGACATCACATGGTTTAGGCAGTAAAGCAGGTCGACAGACGGGGGGACACAAAGGAGGGAGTTGTGGGAAAAGCGCAGCGCAGCGCGCCGCACGTTTGTTTGGTTTAGTGCGCTTGATTAGTGAACGCTCAGGCTCCACGCCGTTGAGTTGAGCAGGCTTCTCTTCTGGCGATAATACTGCGACCAGCGTTTGTCTTGAAGAAATCGTTTATATTTAGGTGAGTCCATTTTCATTGTGTCAAATGGAGCAAGGAGGCTAGAAGCAATTCCAATCTGAAACGGCTCTACTCATGGTTGTAGAGCCTGTGCACTATGGTGAAATTGTTACTTGTATATTTAGAGGGTTTTATTTCGAAACGTGAATAAAGGTGACTGGCATACGTGCAACTGGCCGCGTTCGTTCGTTCTATTTTCTATTAGTGAAGGGGAAATGATTCAATTCCGCGAATCGGTTCCTTCGAACAGTTCATTTCAAAAACGATTTGGCGGTCATTTTAAGCTGTGACGTTATCACCCAGGGGGCTGTTTCATAAAACAGGTTTACCAAATTAGCCAGGTTTATTTCAGTTAGTCTGATTTATTTTCACTTGATTTGGTTTCATAAAGCAAAATTACCATAGCTCACGCTCAGTCACTCTGGCAATTTGCGCTGGGAAACTAACCTGGTCCGAGGCAGGCTAACTGTCAGGCTAAGCTGCGCTCCTCTAACACTGACCAATAGGAACGCATTGATATTACGGCGCTGACTCTCTCGCATACAATTTTCGGTCCAAAAATAAAAGTATACAGAAAATGCAACTTAAATCAAATAAATAAAAATATAGGCTACAACCGACTGTATTTATTGTATTGTGCCCAAGATTTAATGACTTTGTTTTAAGATATTTGAAAACATTTTAACATGCTGCTACATGCGCATTCAGTTGATCAGCAGTTTCTAGCCATGCAGCCTTTCTCTCTGGTTTTATGACAGCTGTACTGTTATTAGTAGAACATTAAAACAGTACAATATAAAATTGCTTACAAATACTAAATTAAAAGTTTAAATCACTAAATTAAAAATGAAAATAAATAATATAAAACAGACTATATTATATATAAGAGGAATACACTAACTCATTTGAGCTAGTAATTTGGGCTGTATTAGCTAGCTTACATTTGATTTACAGTTACTGCTAT